CGGAACCTGGATGCACACAGGCATACACTCATGTCGCTCCGCATGATCCCCCCGGGGCGACATTTGGTTTGGGCGGAACCTAGTAATTCAGCGGCTTTCGTGCGGTATGGGGTAGGGCCTGTCTTAGGTTGAGTCATGCTGGGGAGGCATGCTCTTACCCGTCATTGACTCATCTACCCTGCTATATCATAATTTTTTAGAGGAGGAGTGTGGGAAGCTCACCGTCCCTAGACTCGGTCGTAGGCTAGGCGAGCGAGCCATGCATATGCCTGAGGATCTTCTTGTCCATTTCGGGCTACCGCTATTTCTATTCATCTTGTTGGTTGGTCTGTGATGGATCTCCGGTAGGGCAGGCCTGATCTTCAGTCGAGGGCTTTGTCGCCCGTGTCAGTCTCTCCGGTACCCACAGTGGTTCTCGTCCCGATTCCTGCAGAAAAACACAAACCGCGCCTCGGTTCCGGCTGATTACCGGATCCGGGCCCATCCATTGTCATGCCATAGATAACCGCGCCTTTGGAGGCAGGCCTTGGCTTACTCCCCCTTTTTGTTTTTTATTTTTTATTTTTTATTTTTTATTTTTATCTTTTTCGTTTTGTTTTTGTTTTTGTTTTTGTTTTTGTTTTTTTATTGGTACCAGGGATCGAAATGGCGATTGCCTGCTTACAAGGCAGGCGCTTATGCCGCTGAGCTAAATCCCCAGCCCCCTTTTCCTCGACCGGCGTTTTTCTCAGCCTGCTCGGCAGAGAACTCTGCGTACCAGGCTCGCCAATCCAGGTAACTACCCGAGGGCAGACACGCCTTTGCCAGCTGAATCCAGTCCGCGGGGGTGAGGGGCTCAGAAGACAGGTTCTCCAGCATGGCAATGGTGTAAGGCGCAGTCCGCCCAAAGGTTGTAACTGCATTTTTAAGTTTTTTAATCTGTTTTATCTCAAAAGGCTCCCATGCATTACGTCCCTGGCCCATAGCTACTTGTACAGGAAATATCCCGTAGGGGCCACTATCTATCCCAGGTGGTGGATGTACCTCATGAGACAAACGTCCCCCCTGCCAAAGCCGCCTGTAAAAATACCGACCCGCCGGCGGCGGAGCATAAGACGGCGGCCGTGATTGGGCGGAAAATGGGGGCCCGTGCATCACTTCCTGTTCTGGCGAAAGGGGAGGGAGCTCCCACGCGGCCGCCTCGTGGAGAGGGATCGCTTCCGGGAACAGCCCCCAAGGTGGGGTGGAAGGCTTCGCCTCCCTCTCGCGCCAGGGGGCGCTCAGGAGCTCTCTACTCCTCCGCAGACCAAGTTGAGCGGAGCGCAATTCGCGGCGCAACGCTGGGAAAGAACCCTGCGACTCCTTATCGAGCGGCCTATCCTCTTGGCATCTAGGCTCCTTGGTCTCATCGTTGTCTAAGCCTTCCTCGTTCTCGGAGTCAGACGACTCCGAGGCCTGAGCCCCGTCTTCCTCCTTTATATCTTTGTCTCCTTTGACGGACCCCTCCCGGGAGCTCCCTGACTGGGCCTGTTTCGAATGCCCTACGCACTTTAATGAGCTCTTGAGAGCCTTCCCTGCAACCACCCTCGCTCTTCAAGCATGCATATATCATTTCCCACAGTGGCCGAGCGAAGACCGAAGCCCCGCCCTCCCTTTCCGCTAGAGAAAGATCCCTGCCCAACTTCTCCCACGAGGGCAGGTTTAAGTGCCCTGTGGGCAAGAACCAAGGAGCGAAACTATCAATCTCCTCAAAAAAGCTCTCCAGCGTTTTGCGTCCCACCTTGAGGTCTCTGGACTTTAAGAGCTTCCGGAGGACCTGTACCAAGGGCTGGGTGTCGTTACTCGGTACGTTACCCATATTTAATATGTTACTCACCGCGTGAGGCCCAAAAATCCGCCACTTACGCGTGAGCCTGAGGGGAGTCTAAAAACCCTGTAGGTGCGCGCCACCCAGGGCCCAGGTTTATCCCCTACTCACCTGTCTCGCAGTGCTGTATCAAGGAACGTTGTCCACTACCACGTCTCGGGGGTGATCAGTTGTTCCCCGTGCGGGCCACCAAATGTCGATGTCGCTCCCGGCCGGCAGGAAGGACACACGACAAAGTCTGGCAATGGACAACCTTTTCTTTTATTTTCTCTCTGTACAGCCTGCCCTGGGATCGCTCCCAGCCGAAGCCTCCTCTGGTCCGCTCCCCACGGCTCCTTCCGTGCTTCGCTCCGAAGCCTCTACCGGTCCGCTCTCCGCGGCTCCTTCCGGGCTTCTACTTCCCCCCAGGGGTGGCACCAGTATATATACGGATACAGTGTCCAATCATGTTAAAGTAAGCAAGGCAAGCTGATTGGCTAACATATTATTGAGCGGGTTGTTTACGCGGTAAGCAGGAAACTAACGTGCTCGATGGGAGGGGTAATCTAACTCAGGCTTTACTCTTTACCACAGGCCGCATGATCGCTATATGCGGCGGCTCAGCAATGTGGTGGCTCCCAACAGTATAGGGTCTGTGATCCTATATGAAAACAGTTGTGTAAGTCAGTGATGATGTCTAAGGCCTGTTGATGTGGGAGAACAAGTTTAGATCCCTGAAAAATCCATCCCTGAGTGTTTTGTGTGTAACCTGGTTTATGAGGTAACTATAACTGCTCTGGTGAATAATTAGGCTGAGGTAGGTTGTTTGGGACTAATGGGAGAAGACAAGACCAGGGCCCTTGTGCAGCTAACTTGGCTTGTGAATCTGCAAAGGCATTGCCTTGAGCAATAGGATCTGTGGAGTTTTGGTGTCCTCTACAATGAATAACTGCTGCCTGCTTTGGAAATTTGGCTGCCTCTGGAAGTTTAAGGATAAGGGGAGCATTAATGATGGGGGCTCCCTGAGTGGTAATAAAACCCCATTCTTGCCAGATAGAGGCATGAGAGTGTAAAATGCTAAATGTATACTTTGAGTCAGTGTATATATTTATAATCTTGTTCTTTGCTAGTGTAAGAGCCCTTCTAAGGGCAATAAGTTCTGCCCTCTGCGACGAGGTGCCAGGTGGCAGTGGATTTGCCTCTATAACTTTTGACTAGTTAACTATTGCATATCCTGCCTTCTTTTGGTTGTCTGTGTTTGTTGAACTCCCATCTATGAACCATGTGTCAAAGGCCAAAGAGAGAGGTACGCTACTAATGTGAGGGAAAGGGGTAGGAGTCATCTGTAGGAACTGTAGGAATCTGTAGGAATACAGTCATGATGAGGATGGCCCTCTGAGGTGGGAAGTAAGATTGCTACATTAAGAGGACCACTAGTTGCAATAGAGATGCAAGGGTCTTGAGAGAGAGCTAAGTGTACCTGTTGAAGGCGAGAAGGGGTCATTAGGGCAGGGAGCACCTTATGTAAGATAAGCTCAAGTATGAGGTGAATATACTGTAATAGATTGCCCTAAGGTAAACTTCTTAGCTTCCTGTGTCAGGAGGGCTGCAGCTGCAAGAGCTCAGAGACAAAGAGCCCATCCTTTTACTGTGTGATCTAACTGTTTTGACAAGCTACTGCTTGAAAAGAAGGTCCCTTTTTGTGTCTTAGTACGCCTATAGCTTTGTGGACCTGACAAGTAGTGTTTAAGCTGAAAGGTTGGATGGGATCAAGAAGGGTAAGAGCTGGAGCTTTTAGGAGAGCCTCTTTTAATTTATGAAAGGAGGCATGTATGGGCCTAGTAGGGTCCAGGGGTTCTGATAAGGGACCCTTAGCAGCCTTATAGAGGGGTTGAGCTAGGGATGCAAAGTTAGGAATCCAGAGACAAAAGAAATTAGCTAAACCCAGGAAAGATGTAACCTGCTGTTTAGTTGTGGGCACCTGGAGATCACAAAGAATTGCCTTACAATCTGAGGTGATGGAATGAGTAGTGGTGGTGAGAGCGAGACCTAGGTATTTGACTTTTGGGGAGGCTATCTGGGCTTTAGCAGGAGAGACCCTGTATCCATGACTAGCATGGAAATTAAGAAGACTGGCTGAATGGTGTATGGCTAACATGGAATGGAGAAATAATAGAAGGTCGTCTATGTATTGAAGAAGGACACTAGATTTGAGATCAGGTTCTGTGAGGTCAGTAGCGAGGGCTTGACTAAAGAAGTGGAGACTATCTCTGAACCCTTGGGGGAGCACTGTCCAAGTAAGTTGTTGAGACCTGAGACTGTCTGTTCTGTCCATGTAAATGCAAAGAGGTTCTTGCAGTCAGGGTGTAGGGGGATAGTAAAGAAGGCATCTTTAAGATCTATAACTGTAAAGTGAGTGGTGGAGAGAGGGATATGAGAGAGCATGGTATAGGGATTTGGCACAACTGGGTGAGTTGGGATAACAGCACTGTTAATTACCCTAAGGTCCTGTACCAGGCGATAGGACCCATCAGGCTTGAGTACCAGGAGAATGGGAGTATTGTGGGGTGAATGTGTATGTTTAAGAAAATTGTTGTCCAAAAGACACTTAATTATGGATTTAAGTCCCCTTAAATGTTGGGGAGCTATGGGATATTGGGGAACACAGGGAAAAATTGAGGGATCCTTGAGACGGATTAAAACAGGCATGGTATGTGTAGCCAGAGTGGGATTGGATGTGTCCCAAACTATGGGGTCAACCAGAGAAGGAGGAAGGAGAGGGAATGGCTTTGCGATGCATTGTGAGGCTGTTTGGAGGATTAGGGCTGTGGGGAGAGAGAAAGTAAAGGAAAAATTAAGCTTTTGAAGAAGGTCTCTACCTAAAAGGAGTGTGGGACATGTTGGGATTACTAGGAAGCTATGGGTAAAGAAAAGAGTCTGGAATCGACATCGGATAAGCCCAGTTTGCAAAGGCTATGTAGGCTAGCCATCAAGGCTCACAACAGAAATCAAGGACTTACTACAAGGTCCTGAAAATTGAGGAAGTACACTATAAGTTGTCCCCGTATCTACAAGCAGAGATATTATCTTACCTGAGACCTCTAGTGAGACTTGGGACTCTGACAAGGTTACCGAGCGGGGGCTGTGAGCCCTGAGCCCTGTCAATCTTCCGCAGCAAGTCCGAGAAGGTCAGTCAGCAGCGAATCTGGCATTGACGGAGTCTCCTGTGAGGGCAAGGGATTAGAGGATAACTTACCTGCTTGCTGGTGGCTAGGACAGTCACTTTTCCAATGGCCCTTATCGTTGCAGTATGGACATGGTCCTAGAGGGATGCCAGGGTTGGGGCAATCCTTTGCCCTGTGTCCTTGTTTGCTGCATTTAAAGCATGTTCCGGGCAGGACTCAGGCAACCACACCTTGTTTTGGATTACTTGTCCTGGGAGTCCTGAGTGCCACTGCTAAGAGATCAGACTGATATTTAGCAAACTTTAATTTTTGAGCTTGCTTTTCCTCTTTTTGAATTTTATCTCTGTTGTTGAAGACAAGGAAAGCTAATTTAAGTAGATCCCCTTGCAGAGGGCCATGTTCAACCTTTTGTAACTTTGCACAAATATCAGGAGCAGACTGGGAAATAAAATAAGAGTTATCAACAATCACCCTTCATGAGAGTCTGGGTTCACATTAGTAAACTTAATTAAGTTTTCCTGAAGCTGATTTAGGAACACAGCTGGGTTTTCATTAGCCTCCTAGACCTGTTCTAAAAGTTTGTTATAGTTAGTGTGTTTGTGAGCAATCTTATTAAGGCCCACAATCAGACACTCAATCATTTTACGTAATTTTGTCGAAACTTTACCGTTTTAATAGTTCCAGTTAGGATCTTGTTCTGGCACAGCTACAGGCCCAGGGTCATTATCAGTGGTGTTTGCCTTATGTCTGTGATCAGCTTCTTCTCAAGCTGCTTGCCACAGCTGATTTCACTCTTGTGAGCTGAGCATGGTATTTAGAATCACATAAACATCCTTAAAATGTAAATCATAACAATTAGTTATAAATTCAAATGGCCTGATATAATTCTGTGGGTCAACAGAGAAGCTACCTAATTTATGGGTAATCTGAGATAAGTCAGAAAGGGAGAAAGGCACATGTATATTAACAAGTCCCTTGGGGCTAGCTTGCTCTCAAAATGGTAGCAGAGACTGAGGAGAAGATTGCAGAGTAGATGGCCATTCAGCAGCCATCCATCCAGCAGATCCATGTGAACAATTATCTGTGGATCAGCCACAAAGTGGCTGCCGGTTATCCTGGGATGAGGAAACACAGGCAGATGGCGTCTCACTGTGTGCCTGGCAGCAATGAAATTGCTGTCTGTGACACAGGGAACTATCATATGATCCGCAACAGGGTTGCTGTTGCTGATCACAAGAGGAGCCACAAGGGACAGGCATTGACTGTGAGATCCATCCCAAGATGGCAGCGCCCTGTCATATGGTAGAGGGCCACAACATGGCGACTATTCCCAGTGCAAGCTGGAACAGTCACATGGCTTACCAGAAGGAAACAGTGACCAAAACCTAGTATGGTGGGCTGGAGGAGAGAATGCTGTAGGGGATAGAGAATTCTCAGGAGAATAAGAGGTTGGAGACTTCAAGGAAATGCTAACAGAGGGATTGGAGCTGCTGGGAGAATTATGGGCTCTGGGAAAGGGAGGGGAAAATGATCACATAGTGGGAGATAACTGTGACACAGAGATTAGAGCTGCTGGGTGAATTAGGGGTCGAGGGAGGGGAAGACGATCACACAGCGGGAGGTAATGGCGAGGAACAATTTTGGGGGTAGGCAGGCAGTGGCCAATAAAAAACCAGGGGTACTTCATCAAGCAGATCATGAAGGCAGGGGGGAGAGTTTGAGACGCAGCAGAGTTAGGGGTACCCCTAACTCTGGGTGGGGGTACAAGATTTAATGAGAGATGGGCGTGTTCTCAGAACAAGGAAAGCCTGTACATAAGGGATCTCTGTTAACTTGTCACCAGACTGACAGAAATCATAGAGGCTTTTGAAAATATAGGGGTCAAACGTCCCCTCTCTGGGCCAAGGGCTGCCAATAAGTGGGTAGATCGGCCAAACCTCCTGGCAGTAAAAAGTTAATCGTTAATTTTTATGGTGCTTTTAATTTTAAAAGTACGTAGATTGGAAATTAGGCATTGCAGAGGCCTCTTTTGGGTATTAGAAAAAAACATTTCCCATGACTAATTCAGGCAAGAAATGAGCCGTGGTCTGGAGGGTGAGCCATCACTCATCCCGTGGCACCTAACGGTGGTTAGGGTCCAAAAACTTGTATATTCTAGTCATCACTGAGAGATTTACGAGTGGAGTCCATGTGGGGTCAGTAACAGTTCTGCCTGTGAGGGTGTGAAGCTCTGAGGGACATGAGGGTCTCACAGTGTGGGCAGTCCAGAAAACTCTGCCTTGGGCTATCTGAACCCAAAGGACATGAGAGATTTTCGAGTGTGGATGCAGGTTGCCCAGAAAGACCCTTCCCTGGGCTGTCTTAAGGACGTGAGAGCATCACAAACCCACGTGAAGAGGGAGAAAACTCACCTGGGGCCAAGCCCTGCATCAAGAATTCTCCAGAGTTTGCTCACCTGAGATTAATTGGGCCAGTGTTGTGTGCGAGCAGTAGGCGACAAGTCAAGCAGGTCCCGGGAGAGGAAAAGTAGAGAAGTAATCCAGGATGTAATCCAGCTCATGAATCGGCTGGGGACTCAACTGGGTGTGTGTCCCAGGAGTCAATTGCCTGCCGATCAAGTCATGGCACCAAATGATAAGATTATATCCAAAAGATGAGAAGTATAAAACAAAAGAGGCCTTTATTCTGAGAACACGGAGAGAGAAAACCAAAACCTGATCGCTGGAGTCTGGCTTTCTCTCTGGCGGACACGTGGTGTGGGGGGTATGTAAGTAGCCTCAGTTTGGGGTGGAACCTAAAGGGGCATCAGGGATGTACGGGTAACCCATTGGTCTTTTGTTTGGCGCCATAGGTAAATTCCTAGGGGGTGGGGAAGATGGCATCACAGGTAAATTCCTAAGGGTAAGGGAGACAGGAGTTCCTTGGTTCCGCCTTTAAGGCTTCACTGGCTACAGTATCCTGTCTGGGCCAAAACTCTTTCAGCATCCAGCTACCTTGCTGAATTTATTTATTATATCTAGGCATCTTTCATTGGAGTTTTGGGGGTCTTCTATGTAGAGTATCATGTCATCTGCAAATAATGATAATTTAACTTCCTATTTTCCTATTTTTACCCCTTTTATTTCTCTCTCATCTAATTGCTCTGGCTAGTATTTCTAGTATTATGTTGAATAGGAGTGATGATAAGGGACATCCTTGTCTTGTGCCTGATTTTAAGGTAAAGGCCTTCAGTTTTTGGCCATTTAATGTGATGCCGGCTGTTGGTTTGTCACAGAAGGCCTTTATCATATTGAGGTAAAGACCATCTATTCCAATTTTCTGTAGGGTTCTTATCATGAATGAGTGTGGGCTCATTCTTATCATGAATGAGCTTTTTTGCATTTATAGAAATGATCATGTGATCTTTACTTCTGGCCCTATTGATATGGTGGATTACATTTATGGATTTACATATGCTGAGCCATCCCTGCATACCTGGGATGAATGCACTTGGTCATGGGGTATAATCTTCTTGATGATTTGCTGCATCCTGTTTGCCAATATTTTATTGAGGATTTTTCCTCATCTGTGTTCATTAGTGAGATTGGCCTGTAGTTCTCTTTTTTAGTTGAGTCTTTCTCAGGTTTTGGTATTAGAGTAATATTTACTTCCAGGAATGACTTAGGAAGGATTGCTTCCCTTCCAATTTCACTGAAGAGTTTGAGGAGTGTCAGCATTAAGTCTTCTTTGTATTTCTTGTATAATTCCACAGTGAATCCATCTGGGCCTAGGCTCTTCTTTGTAGGTAAGGACTTAATTACATTTTCAATTTCATTCATAGAAATTGGGTTATTCAGCAGTTTTACATATTCTTGACCCAGCTTTGGTACTTCATACATTTCTAGGAATATGTCCATTCCTTCTGTGCTATCGAACCTATGAGAGTAGAGGTTTTTGAAATATATGTCCATGATCTTCTGTATTTCCAGACTCCTTATTGCATCAATTTGAGCTTTTTCTTCCCTTTTTTTATAAGGTTGGCTAGGGGCTTATCAATTTTATTTATTCTTTCAAAAAACCAACTCTCTGTTTCATTGATTCTTTGGACATTGATTCTTTGGATTCTTCTTAGTCTCTATTGCATTAATTTCTGCTCTGATTTTTATAATTTCCTCCCTTCTTTGGCTTTGGGCTTGACCTGCTCTTCTTTTACTAGATGTTTGAGGTATAGCATCAGGTTATTTATTTGTATTCATTCTGTTTTCCTGATGTGGGAACTCAGTGCAATAAATTTTCCTCTGAGGACTGCTTTCATTGCATCCCACAGATACCAGTAAGTTGTATTTGTATTTTTGTTTGCTTGTAGGTATTGCTTAATTTCTTCTTTAATTTCTCCTGTGACCCACTGATTGCTCAAGAGTGTATTGTTCAGGTTCCATGTGTCTGTGGGGTTTTTGAAGTTTCTTTTATCATTAATTTCTAGTTTCATGGAGCTATGACCTCATAACATGCATGGGATAATTTCAACTATTTTGCATTTACTTAAATATGTTCTGTGAGCTAATATATGGTCTGTTTTAGAGAATGTCCCATGTACTGCTGAGAAGAATGTATATTCTGATGTTGTTGGATGGAACACTCTGTATACTTCTATCAAGTCCATTTGTTCATAGGTGTGATCCAGTTCTGTTATTTCTTTGCTGATTTTCTTTCTCATTGATTTGTCCCTTGGTGTCAATAGTGTGTTAAGGTCTCCTGTTATAATTGGGTTATTGCTTATTTGATTTTTCATTTCTGTTAATACTTGCTTTGTATAACTGGATGCTCTGGAATTTGGTGCATATATATTTAAGACTGTTATCTCTTCCTCTTGAAGTTTTCCCCTAACTAATAGGTACTGACCTTCTTTATCTCTTAGGATCATTCTTGGTTTGAAGTTCACATTGTCTGCAAACAGAATAGCTACCCCTGCTTTCGGGGGTGGGGTTCCTGTTGTATGAAGTATTGTTTTCCATCCTTTGACTTTCAGTCTGTAAATTTCTTTTTGGGTT